AATCTTTTAAAGCGAAATTGTCGTTACTCTCAAAGTATTTACTTGTGACTCTTTAAGTATTTAATTTCATATTTGGATCAGAAATTATTCATACTTTTTAAAATTTATTTGCTATAAACTTTATTAAATATAAATTTACTTTTTGTGTGCAATTTCTTTTTTGATTATTAAAATTGCTAAACTTTTTTTCTACAAAATTTCAAAAATTTTATGAATTGAGCAAAAATTGATCAGATTTGATTTTGAAGTTATGGTAATTTCAGTATTTTTGTAATGCATTTTTTAAGTTAAAACAATGCAAGAATTTTGCATATTCGTCTAATTACAGGTCGAAAATAGATGATAAATATATTATGGCTGAAAAATAAGATGAATAGTAATTATTTTTAGTTTTACTGAAAATAACATGTTATTATTGTTGAAAGGATTAGATTCAGTAGCAAATCATCATCAAAAGTGATATAAAAGTTTTAAGTAAATATTAATTTATGAAATAAAGTACTAAATTTTGAATTCATTTTCAGCCTTGTGTATCTGATGACTTTATGATGTATTCATTACATCTCGATCGTCTCAATTATATCACTATTCAGTGAAAGTAGCTTAACGTTGGGATTAAGTAAGGTTGTTCTAACGAAGATGAAATGTAAGCATGGATTTTGTGGACTTAAGCAAAACTTTTTCATTTATTACGCAAAAACTAACTATCGAAGTGATAAGATAAGAGTGATTCAAAAAGTTCGATCTTATAGTGTATTAAGCAAGAGAGAAGTGAAGTGTGTTGCAGAATTTGAAAGATTAATTCTGAAAGCAGTCTTACCCTTCATTCCTATCTCGTTTTTCAGTGATTAAATACCATAAAGTCAGGATTTGATTAAGTTTTCAGACTTTCCGAAGTAATTCTTAATTGCTAACTTTTTTTGCCAATAGTAGAAGCAAAGAAAAGTAAAGTAAAGAACTTGTTTTTCAGTATTTTGAGGAGATTAGTAAAAAAATGTACTATCCATTCAATTATTGTTAATTAAGCATAAAACAGTAATACATTTATAAAAAGTAAGCATTACTTATCGCAAAATTGTTATAATGGAAGTAAAATTCGTTCATACAGCAATATTTCAAGTAATGCAAACGCCAAAAATAAAAATAAAAATTCATATTTTTTTGGATCTCAAAATGGATAAAATCAAGCTTTTAGCAATAATCATGATAAAATTGACATTAGCAATGATCATTGATAAGATTGACATTTAGCAATAATCTAAATATCAAAAGCAATGTGAAAGTGAATAATGAATATAAATTTCCAACTAAAACACTAACTTTACTGATTTATACTATGAATGGAATTCAACTATTGGCTTGCATAATGTCATATGTGATAATAGACTGAATTTTTAACTCCAAAAAGTTATAATTATTATAAAAGAAACATTTTGCGTTATTGTAATTACCTAAATTTTTTATTCATTTGTAATAAAATTGCTCTCACGCCCTATTTTAATATTTCTGAAAGACTATTAAAATAGTACTTGCTTTTTGTTTTTCACTCTTACAAAGTAATTATTTGGGCACAATTGGAGATATGCAAAGGTCATAATTTTAAAAAATCTGAAATATAGAATGATAGTTACTTAATAAAATAGCATAAAGGACTGGAAGTGAAGAAACTAATTTGTATTTGATATATGAATTAAAATTCTTGCATTTATATACCTTTGAAAAATAGTTCAAATTAAAATCAAAAGTAGAGTTGTGAACTTTACATCAAATACAAAATTGAATTTGGATAAATAAATTGTGCTTTAATTTAATTTTAATTGATAAAGCTTATTAAGGAAGAAGGCAATTTATAGAAATAAAATCTAATCAAAACAGCTTCCACTTTAAATTCAGTATACTTTTATTTTCTTTGCTGTGTTAAAAAAAACTTGATCTAGTCTAAAATTAATCATTTGGTTACATAATTAAAAAAATTATCGAAAACGAAAAATGCAAAAGTTCAAGGGTTAAATTTGACCCTTCAGTACGCAGAAATATAAATGCAATGAGTTATAAAATAAATGGCTGCATACACGCATGAATATAAATATTAATACCCTGCTAAATCTGAGGATAAGTAATACTTTTTTATTAATTACTTCACTTCATATTATTTTCATTCTTAATGCTAAGCTCAAAGTTAGTAATAATGTCTTCTATTTATTGATCATTATTTTTGGTTTAAACTTATATCTGATTTATACTAAGTTAATTTTCAGTATTTGAGTTACTAACTAATTAGTTACTACATATAATTTTGTGTTTTCTTCATAAAGCACTACTCATTAATTTAAATTGTTGTCATTTTTGTCATTAATTAGCGTTTTATTCATTAATTTTTTCCAGTAAAAATATTTATGCTAAAGTTATTCTATTCTGAAAAGAAATTAATTTGTCAATTCACTTTAGAAAAGTTAAATTTTATTATTTTTTGCCTCAAATTTTACAATCAATTTTTGATTAAGTTGTAACGATCGTTGAGAAATTCATGATTTTTAAGATTTTACTTTTTAATATTTTTCAGAACTTTTCCTTGCATTTGTATTGTCGTTTAATTGTTATTTAAATACTTGTAAAACTGCTAACCGCACTAACTACATTCTCTCTAATTAAATTAAATTAAATATTATTATATATATTAATTATTATATTTGATATTTGATCCCTTTGGTTCTTTTATTGCATATTTTCATATTTTTTAATCATTTGTTTTGTATCGATGTTCTACGTCATATTATTTTTAATGAAAATTAGCTTGTTTTTGCATATGACGTAAAATTTTGGTTTTATTAATAAGCTTTATAACAAATGTCGATTTAGTTTGAAAATTTTTAATTAGTACTAATTTGTTTAATCTTTTTGTACTAATGATGTAGTGACGCTGACATCAGAATGCCATTTTAAGAATCAGACAGTTCTTGTTTAAGATTCTGAAATCAGCTTTGTTATTTATTTCTGAGATTAGCATATTTTACAGCAATCTGTACACAAATATATAAAGCATGCAAATTTAAAATATTCCATTTTCGCATATAAATATGTAGTTATTATTAAATTTTTATAAATTTAAATTGATTGCAATTGAGTTTCGTTGGTTTCTTGTAAGTTTCTGATTATTTTTTGGCTATTTTTCTTCTGTCTATTTAATAGGACGAATAATTTTATTCAAATATTTGCTAAATTTTCAATGCAAAAAAAAGCTTCAATTTTATTATAAATAATACATAAGTATATTATTAGATAATTATTCAAACTGTAATAATTTACAGGAGACTGAACATGATGAGTGTCAGAACTACCACATATTTGTTGATCTTATATTTATTTATCGTTAGTTTGCCAAAAACTTCCCAAAAAAAATTGACAATTTTGTTTATTACAATAAATTATGCAAGGATTTTTTTGCAAAGTAATACTAGCAAAATAAATGTATAATTTAATTAAGATAATTCATGTGCTTTATTGAAAGCATTGAATTAGTTCAAAGAAAAACTGAAAAAAATTTAAACTATAATTAGTGAAATCATTATAAACTTTTACAAATTATTATCAGAAAGTGATATAATACGTTTGATTGTTCGTGTTTACTTGATTAATTTTATTCAAAATAAACATTTTTGGCTTATCTTTAATTGTACTTATTTTTTATTCATAAATAAAGTTGAAGCGGATTTTTCTTAGATAAAACAGTAAATTTTATCAAAATTGAAGGCTGCAGAGGCAGTAACATACGTGAAAGGTCCCAAAGGTCCAAGAGGTGATCCCGGACCTGTAGGAGAGAGAGGTCCTCAAGGTCCTAAAGGTCCACGAGGTGATATGGGACCTACAGGAAAGAAAGGACCCCGCGGCCTTCCTGCTGGAGCTGTCGAAACGCCTTATGTATAAATTTTATTTCAGTTCATTTCTATTATGATTTCGAATTTACGCAGTCATAATTGTCTCGACTAATATTTAATCATGATTACTAATCACTATGCATATGAAAATAGATTTGTTTCCGTTATTTTACATTCGTATTACATGCAAAAAATCTATTGTGAATTTTTTTAAACTGATATTTTATCATCTGATAACTGATCTTTTTTGATAGTACTGAAAAAGAAATATGCTATAGCTTTACGTAAATAGCATAGTTATCGAAATTCTTTTCTTTTTTTGCATTAGAAACATCATTTATTGAAAGATTTATGTAACAAAAATACTTTTGCTAAAAATTTGGCTTCTTGAAAATGGAAATTTTCAGTATTCAGATCAAAGGCATGAGAAATGGTGACATCTGATATAAGTGTTGTGATTCTGAACGTAGAAGAAACGTCAGCAAATTTCATCTGCTCTCTCTGATTATTCCTATTTTATTTAATAAATTTTTTGCTTATTTTTAATAAATATCACATCATACTTTATTTCTTCAAAGATAGAACACTTGCGCAGCACACTCAATGACATAAATTTATTTTCAAAATGCAAAACAGTTTTCAAAATACAAAAAATTTGCATTATTGTTTTTTCTTTATCAAAATGAAGTCTTAACTTGATATCAGTTCACTGTAAGCACTTCGTTATGAGAAAAAAGTGCTGATAATGAGGACTAGCACTGACTGCTTCATACCTGTAACATTAATCCTTTTAAAAATTGTGGATTTAATGAAATATTTAATTATTAAGAATGTTACAAACCTAATTTTTTAGTTATATATTATTTTTTATTTTTTAATATATAACAATTGTATATTCGTTAATAATTTTATTTTTAAACTTTTTGTTAAGAAATGAATGAGCATACTGTGGTGTAGTGAATTAGAGCGACCAGTTGAAGGACCAGGATCTCCCATAGGTCCTGGTAATCCAGGTGGCCCACGTTCTCCTTGAGGACCTTTCAATCCTTGAGGACCACGTAATCCCGGGGGTCCCTCATCCCCATCATCTCCTATAAATTCTGGTGGACCATTCCAGACAGTGGTTGCCCAATTTTTTTTATTCTTAACTGCGCTCATTTCACTTTCGATGGCTCTATTAATTGTAGTAACAATATTTGTAGTAGTCATAGTTGTTGCTATAGTAGGAGCAGTAGTTGGAATAGTAGTAGTTCGAGTAGTACTAATTTGAGTAGTAGTAGTTGGAGCAGCAGTAGTTGGAATAATAATATTTGGAGTAGTAGTAATTTGAGCAGTAGTAGTTGCAGCAATAGTAGTTGGAATAATAATATTTGGGGTAGTAGTAATTTGAGCAGTAGTAGTTGAAGCAGTAGTAGTTGGAGCAGTAGTAGCTGGAGCAGTAGTAGTTGGAGCAATAGTATTTGGAGCAGTAGTAGTTGGAGCAGTAGTAGTTGGAATAGCAATATCTGGAGTAGTAGTAGTTGAAGTAGTATTACTTAGGGTAGTAGTAGCAGTTAGTAGTAGTAGTTGGAGTAGTAATAGTTGAAGTAGTGTGTTCTAAAAAGATTACAATTTAGACGATATTTTACAATATTTCACTTATCATAAACACTTTATAATTACAATAAATGCTTGCCATTTAGGGTTTTTAATCCCCTTCATTTCTCTTGTACAATTTTAAACTACTTTTGTACAAGAAAATTCTAATTTTATTATTTTTATTAAACTTAGCAATTAACAATCATAATCATAATTTGGTATGTATATTAGTTGCATCTGAACTGATCATTTTCGAATTCTAATTTTATGTTAATTCTTATAAAATCTGCGAAGATAAAAGTTATATATGCTGCTGCGTGATTATATTCTTATATGCTGCATTTCAGTATTTTCAATAATATTAATTTGGATTGAAAACTAATCTGATTGTTCTAAAGTTGGAATTATTTGTGCTGAAGTAAATTAGAAACTTTGAGGGTCTCAGATATCTGAGGTGTTCAATATAACATACTTTTCCATTAAAGAATTTATTCTTTGACTTCAGTTCTCTAATCAAAACTTGAAATTATTAAAAAATTGTAAGATACAACCTCTAATAGTTATTTTAAGTATTTGATTTGTAATGTTTTCAAAAACAGATATACTGATTTATAAATAAAATTCGCCAAATTTCTTATGAATCAAACAGTTTCTTCTGAAGGGCAGAATAAAAATACTACAACAATACTTACTAAATTCACTACTAATACAATCGGTGTAATCATAGTAGTAATCCGTAATCCCATCTTGCTGTTCTGCAATCTACTAGCTATACTGTATCCTTAAAGAATGCAAATACTTTATTCTCCTATATAGATTCAGCTCCCCTAAACGTAAAAATAAGAACGTGTTTTATAGCAAGTGTCCGAACAACCTCACGTACGCGCCTACAGTTACTTCAATGACATGTTGTGCAGACTTCGTCTTTCTAAAATATTTAACTTTGGTTAAACTAAATATTAAAATAGTGATGCATTCATTCCTTACAATTAATACTTCAATTCTAAATTATGCTTGAAAACAATTCAATTGTTTAGAAATTGTACAATGATAATTTGTGTATTGTTGCTTCTTGCAAAGATTTATCACTGAGATCTTTTCGCACAAATTTCTTTATTAGCGACACATTAAGTTAAACAATTATGATTTTATACTCTTCAAAGTTTTGAATATTTTAATAAATTCAGGTCGATCTTCTGGACTTTTAGCCCAACACTGCTGAACTATTTTAGCCACTACAGATGGTGTATCCTGCAAAAAAAAAAATGATAATAATAATAATTTTATGCTATGATGATAAGTTTTATCTAAACAGTCCCACTCAAAAAAAATGCATACAACCAAACTTTTGGCATTTCCATTCGATAATTTTGCACAACAATTTTTGCTCGTGTTTGAATATTGCTTAGGCCTGGATAAGGTTCAGAACCATCAGAATAAATTTCCCAAACAAGCACGCCATATGACCATACATCCGTTTTATTAGAGTAAACTTTTTGCTGCATTGTTTCTGGTGCTAACCATTTTACAGGTACCTAATAAAATACAATCAAATTTCAACTTTTCAAAAATATTTTGCGAAGCGAATTTCACGAGACAGAACTTGTTTTTAGTGATTGAAGGTAACACCTCATTTTTTATTACTACTAGAGAGATTCTGAATCTTCAAAAACACTTCAACGATAAATTTCAGAGAGTTTATACATATTAAAATGTATGTAATGAGTTATTTTCACTAAGTAAGTAAGTAAAACGTCAATAGACAACAGAACAAAAAGTCATCCTCTTAATTATTATTAAAAATGCAAAACACACATTTTTAAATAATTCAACGTTTCAATACTGATAAAGAAAAATAATATACCTTTTCCAGTTTATCATCCTGTACAATAAGTCGATCATCAGACATACCAAAATCACTTATTTTCACATCAAGTTTAGCAGACAGCAATACATTGCGTGCAGCAATATCCCGATGAATACATTTTTGTTTATGCAAATAAGCCATACCATCCGCTGCTTCCGTTGTGAAACGTAATTTTATGTGTAATGTTGTTTTTCCTTTTTCTTTACGCAGGTATGACAGTAAGGATCCACATAAAACAACACACTCATGTATTGAAAAATATAAATTACTGTTTCAGTACCACTAAATTATGATCAGATACAAAAGCACTAATAACATCAAATGAAAAAGTTATTTAGAAAAATGCCTAGACTTGCTTGTTAAAAAAGTATATAAATATGATATAACGAAAAAAAAATACCAGGACAATTTTCCATAATAATCATTAAAGGGTGTTCGTGTACAGCTACGCCAAGTATGCGAACGACATGTTTATGTTCATAACGGCGCATTAGACGTGCTTCCTTCATAAATTTTAAACGAGCTTCACGAGTTGCTTCTTGACGCATCGTCTTCACGGCTACTTCTTGCTTTTCTGTTCCCGAGGAATATTCTGCTAAGAATACCTGTAATTAACGAATAGTAGAATGTTATCAAACTTTCTTTTCTATTTTTAATCAATTTACTTCACAAATCTCTGTCTATATTGTTTTAAGATACCAAACTAACCTCACCGAAAGCACCTTCTCCAAGTTTTTTAATCAGTCGGATAGCATCATGATTCAATAGCCACTGTGGTCTTTCGATAGGTCGACGGAGACGGGCTTGACTAGAAGCTGAAAGCGCTGCTCTTGTTGTTCTGTAGTATTGAATGAGATCAGAGACGCTTTTTTCATGGTGATGCTCACAATAGAATGATCCATCTTGATCCTGATTTACCATGAAATGTCGTACAGTATTATTATGTCGTACCGATATAGCCAGAACAATTTCTCCTGCAGTCCTTCTTCAATTATATTAATATAATGCATATTTTAGCAACTACAAACTTACTTAGTTAAAAATTTGCTAAATTGGTTGAAATTAAAAAATTTAACTATTAGAACTTCTTTGGCAAACAATTTATGGTCAAGACGGGAAAAAAATCACATATAAATTCTTATTTCCGAAATTTTAAATTTTTTAATACATTATTTTAGACAATTATAATCATTACAAATTGAGAAATTTGTTGAATAGACATTAATTTGCATAACGAACCGGGAGTAAGTTCAGTTTTTCGTAGTAGAAAGTCGCCTTCTTTTCTCAGCAACGGTTCAATGTCGGTACGTGGAATCAGCCCATGGTAATAATCAGCGCCTTTTACGTCATCAGTTATTGACACGGAGTCATCACCCTAAAGTAGAAAGTCTCTTCCAAATATTACTTTTTATTAGATTAATAATCATCGATTTCACATAAGCGTCAACTAATACTAAAATTTTGATCTGTAAAAAGAATGGTAATCAATGTTTCAGAAACTTAAAACAGTTTCATTCATAAACTAATACCTATTTGATGGGTATTCTGGATGAATGAATGAGTGCAATAAAAATACGAACTAAATAAGATTTTCGATTCTCGAATAATTTTTACTCTTGAACAATGAAAGGATGATGCAAGAAGTTCGAAGGTTAAGGTTCAAAGAATCAAAAGTATTTGAAATCTCAGACCCCTTCATCGTCATCCTTCTTTGCCATTAAAAACTCAACACACGCTGACTATTTAGAAATAAGCAATGAAGCAAAATCTCATAAGTCACTAATTATTATCCTTTCAATCTTAAAGGACTTTGCATAATTTTACTGGCATATTTTTGATATTAAAAATCAATGATTGCTATTAAATATTAGTAACAGTAAAGAAGAAGAAAGGCTAAGCCACAAATTAGTGAAAATGAATTACTATCAAAACATAATACTTAATAACAGCAGTATTCCTTAAAATAGTTATTATCGTAATTACTAATACTTAGTTTAATTTTATTAAATATTTGTAGTCTTACATTTATAGTGACATTATTACCCATAAGTTATCTTGATAAATTATTTTAACTTTTTGTCAGATCAGCTACTTGTAAAAACTAAGATCACTTTTTAAGTATTGTTCGTCGTTCCTTGTTGGGACATTCGTTTGATAACAAATAATTTTTGTGACTGCAAACAAATTAAATCCTCAAATTTAAAAGTTTTCCAAAAAACAAAAATTTTTGGATTTCATCTTTAGCTCTTAAATATGTTTGGAGTCCTAAAGCGACTTTTAGTTTTACGGTATTGAAATCCTAAACTTCAAATGCAAGTAGTTGGAAGAAAGTTGGTAGTTAGTCGTATTTGATTACGTTTATGGTATGGTTTCCGTGTTGTTATTCTTTTTGGGGGTTTGTGCTCAGAGGTTACATATCTGTAGAAGAGAATTTCTGGAAATTCCTTATTAGTAGTGTCGAACTTTGCTTTGCTGTGAGTAGAATTCTTCGTGTTAAATACGTCAGTGTATGACCGAGGAGATGAATTACTCGAGGGAAAGGCAATTCATTGCATAGAAAGTTATTTCTTTCCAAATATATGTATTGTTTTCGTAGGAAAGTAATTTTTGTTAAGGGATTCAGTATTTAGCATGAAAGACTTCCTGAAGTATATATTATATTTTTTAAGGAATTATTTGCGTACTTAGCGAGGTATACATATAGAAAATGGCTCGTGGACCTAAGCGCCATTTGAAGCGTCTGGCAGCACCAAAACATTGGATGCTTGACAAGCTTGGAGGTATCTCTTGGGAATTCTGCTTTCAATTTTGATTCTTCACGCACACAGCGGAATAACTTATTCTGCTATTAACTTTTAATCAATTCTGGCAATTAAATAATTTAGTAGTGGAGTACCACTCTGTGCATTTGTTAATTAACGCAGTCAGGTTCGAATCCCCTATGTAACTCAAAAAGATCCAAGTTACAGCAGTTAGTGATGAAAATAATGGAATTACCCTTTGATTACAGTATGATATTATTTCGCGGCATGTAACTCTGAAATTGCTGTGCTTGTTTAGTTTTCCTGTTTTACCATCAATTTTCAATTGTTGGTATAGTCGTCATAGTAGGACAAAATTCTTCCACAACTTTTTAATGTTTGTGCATATCATACGTTTTTTGAAGCAAATTGAATTTGTTGAGACAAACATTTGTTAGCATTTTATATTTTTGTATGCAATAACGATCTAAGTTCATTTTTTTCTGAAGTTTGAAAGTATGTAAAAGTTAGTTGTTGTCAGCAAATATATATCAGATAACTGCTTGTATATTTTTTCTTGTGGCAGTAATTTTGTGGTTATTCTGCTAGTACTTTTCACATACTATTGATCACACAATTTTAGATAGGACTAGTTCCTGATTTGAATCATATTGGCATTTGTTGTTTGTAGGAGTATTTGCTCCAAGACCACGATGTGGGCCGCATAAATTACGAGAGTCGCTCCCCTTAATATTGTTTTTACGTAATCGTTTGAAGTATGCGTTAACGTATAACGAAGCGCGAATGATTTGTAAGCAAAGATTAATCAAAGTTGATGGAAAGGTGCGAACAGACATGCGGTTTCCAGCCGGATTTATGGGTATACTATGATTTTATTTTGCTCTATAAAATTGTAATCTTCATATATTTTGCTTTTTTTATTTTAAAATTGCAGATTGCCTAGTATGAAGATTGTTATGGTAAAAAATTATTGAATTGATTTCCAGATTGTACTTTATTTTTCTGGCTAAAATCGTATGTTTGTACGAAGTATTTCAGATGTAATTAGGATTGATAAGACAAACGAAACATTCCGATTGCTGTATGATGCCAAAGGAAGATATGCTACACATCGTATCACAGAACAAGAGGGTAATTTCAAACTTTGCAAAATAGTTAAAAAGTCTGTTGGTCCGAAGGGAGTACCTTTCATTGTCACTCACGATGCACGCACTATTCGTTACCCTGATCCTCATGTGAAAGTAAGTCATTTCTGTGCTTCAGTAATTACCGAGAAGTACTAGTCTTAATTTAGTCCTAAAAATATAGTTTGATCAGCTATTGAAAATGATTTACCCATTAGAAATCATTTGGTTTTCTGAATGAAAATTAGGTATATATGTTTGTACGATAGCAACTTTTTTTTTCTTCATTTGAATTACTTACTGAGTCTTATTTTTAGTACATCGTATTTTGTTTACTCGATTTTTGATGTCAGGTAAATGACACGATAGTGATTGACATTTCAATTGGAAAAATGACTGATTACATCAAATTCGAACAAGGTAATTTATGCATGGTGACTGGAGGACGTAATATGGGTCGTGTTGGTGTTGTCGGGCATCGTGAGAAACATCCGGGTTCATTTGACATTGTGCATGTTAAAGACGCTGCAGGCCATTCATTTGCCACCCGGTTAGTGAATTGCAGAACAAGCATAAATATATCAATGCATTTGAAGTCAAATAGTTGTTATTAATTTGAGGAAAAAGTGGATTATCTAAGTTTTCGTGAGGAAAAGATGCATTTTGCTTTTGAGGCACATATTTTCCTTCTACAGTTATAAATAAAGAAGGCCGGGGCCTGGTTGGCATAACCACCGGTCCAGGTTTGTTCATTTTCGTTTCTCTGTAAGAGAAATAAATCAGGTTTAAAAATCAGAATGTTATTTGGGTCTACAAACTTTTACAATTTTCTCTTACTTGTATGGATAATTTGTTCTGGATTCCTGCTCACTGGATTTCCATTTTAGGATTATGATTTTTCATGTTGATTTACGCCCTTTTTTCCTTTATAAATAGTCATCATCTCTATCTCTTTTAGGCTGAATAATGTCTTTATAATTGGGAAAGGAACAAAAGCTCTGGTAAGTTTGCCAGGACCAACAAAAGGTGTCCGCTTGACGATTGCTGAAGAACGAGATCGTCGACTTGCCCAGAAAAAAGCTGCTTGAATATCATTTTAGAATTATGTGATTTGAGATTTGTTGATTTTGTGATAAATAGATGTTTTCATGTTGTCTTCACACATACTTGTATCATTTCTATTAGTCCTATCTCATTTCTTCAGAACCATTAATTAAGTGGGTTTTTGGATGCTACAATAAAAGTCAAGCTGCCTCTTTCTATGGCTGTTGAATAACGCAGTTTTACTGTCTCAAGTAAATAGGGGATGTGTCCCTCACTCTTTACGCTTGAGAAGGCATAGAGTAGCAGAGCATTTAAAGGTGGATTTTTTGTCTCATTTGAAATTTCGTTTCCAAAGACTGTAGATGAGATCTATTCCAACCTGGAACGGACGAGGATTCATATGGGTTGGTTGTTACCGTAGAGACGTTGTTGCACATGGTTGTAACATTCTGCTCCATTAAAGCATATCTTTTGGTATTATTGTAGGATGCGGAATTTGACAAATGCATCGAATATATGGAATGCTTTGCATGGTATTTTATGTGTTCATAAACCAAGAGATATGTCGTTAGGAGCGCTGAAACGTTATCTTGTTAGTAGGATTTGTGAAAATGCAAACGGTCTGTGTTTGCCCGCTCAGATACCTCTAATGGAAGTGCCAATTGTTGAACCTCATCCTGTATCGCAGGCACCTGTTGTTGTAGGATTACGGAAGCAACCAGACTACAAGTATTGTAAAAGATATCTTCCATTAGGTTGTTGCATAGCAACAGTCTCTTTCGATTAATAAATATATCATTAATTTTAAATAATGAATATTCCATTTTTGTTTACTTGCAATTTATGTGCTTCTATTTAACTGTAAATATCGATATATGATCTGAGTAGACTTTTTTCTGTCACATTAGTTTAAGTATTATGTAAGTTTATTACTTGAAATCAAAATGAAGTTAAAAAAAATATTAATTAGTAAGTATTAGATTCCAAAAGTTTTCAGAGATAAAAGTAACTGAATTGAATTTCAGTA